CTGAATGCATGTTTTGATGAATGATGATGGTGCATTGTAGGGTCACTACTTTACAGCTTCCCCTTCTTTTTACCTAAGATATGTGTGGATGAAGTTTCCATTCTTGACTACACTACATCATTGAACTCTAGCATCTGGAAGTTCTTATCTCAAGTGCTCCCCTTTCTGAGATGGTGTTCTCTGTGTAACACTGACTGTCCTGGAACTCACTTTGTAGACCAGGCTGACCTTGAACTCACAGATATCCTCTTGCCTCTGCCTCCTGGGATTAAAGGCATGTGCCACCATGCCCGTCTCAAATCCCCCTTTAATCTTGCTTTACTGACAGCCGTTTTGGAGCTGAATGAACTGTTGCTGTCCCTGGGTTTCCACGTATATTGAAGATGCTGAAGAGTTGGGTTGATGGGGCTTAAAGCAGAAGATTGCTCAGTTGCTAAGAATCTTTGCTGGGCAACCATAAGGACCTGAATTCAGATCCTGGCACCCACACAACTAATGGTCTCATGCACACCTGCAACCCATGCAACTAGTGATCTCATGCACACCTGCAACCCATGCAACTAATGATCGCATGCACACCTGCAACCCATGCAACTAGTGATCGCATGCACACCTGCAACCCATGCAACTAGTGATCTCATGCACACCTGCAACCCTAGTTCTGGGAATGGCTGAGACAAGATGATGACTACAGACTGCTAGTCTAGTCAAAAACCGTGAGTTTCAGTTACAGGGAGAGACCCTGCCTCGAAGGAATAAAGTAGAGGATAATATAGGAGGATGTCCAATACCCTCTTCTGTTCCCTGTGTGTACTCACAGGCGCGCGTGTGCGCACACACACAATCACACACACACACACACACATACACACACACACACAAATAAATTTTAAAAAGAACTGGCTTAGCCAGGTGTGGTAACACATGCTTTTAATCCCAGTATTGGGTTGGCAGAGGCAGGCGGATCCCTGTAAATTCAGGGTCAGCCTGGTCTACAATGCATGATCTAGGACAGCCAAAGATACATGGAGAGATCCTGTTTAAAAAAAAAACAAAGTAAAAATAAAAAGAGTTGGCTGAGGGTTTACATTTTTTATACTAAACTTTCTATTAGCAGACTAGAAAATCTTGGAAGAGCAAAATGTAAAGTTTGCAATCTATAAAATATAACATGTAATAGGAGTAAAGGTATTTATTCTTATGGGAAATGCATACATCTGGATACCGTATGATAATTTGGTAAACCATATAAGTGGATAAGGCTTTGAAGACAATGCAAAGTAATGTAAAAGTTTAGTCTTTTAGTTGTTTGATTTTGTTTTCCAAGACAAGGTCTCATTATGTAGCCTAGGTTAGCCTTGAATCCTCTGACCCATCCGCCTCATGTTCCTGGCAGTCATTTTATAGACATGTTGAGAGTCTAGTCCCTGAAAAAGTAGAGCTATTCCCTCAGCAACAATTTGATTATTGTACAAAAGCATGACACTGTAGGAGAATGAGTTGAAGACTGAGGAGTTGAGGCTAGCCCCCATCCCACCCACCCCTGGGCTTCCTGCTTCTCTTGCTCCTTGCCGTTTCTAATGAGCTCACATCACTTTTTCTATGGAAAAACATCACATAACTCTTGAGTCTATTTTACTATCATAACTAAGCAAACTATTGATTTTATCATAAAAACTGGCCATATTTAACACTGAATATTTAGCATACTTAATACGAAAAGCCTCCAGTTACTCATAATTATCAAGCTAAAATGGTTTCTTTGGGGGGAAGTCTGTTATAAAAGAAAACAGTGCTGGCCAGGTGGTGGTGGCGCACGCCTTTAATCCCAGCACTCGGGAGGCAGAGGCAGGCGGATCTCTGTGAGTTCGAGGCTGGGCTGGAACGATAGCCTCCGAAACAATACAGAGAAACCTTATCTTGTAAAAACCAAAAAAAAAAAAAAAAAAAAAAGAAAAGAAAAAGAAAAAGTAAACAGTGCTTAGCCAATCTATGGAAATAAAAACTGCCTAAATTACTTGATATGTCCCTTTATGTCTTCTAGAAGTGACTAGGGGTCCTTATTGGTAGTAAATAGTAATTGTTTTAGTAAGTGAAAAAATTTAAATATAACATACCCTATATTTATGAATGATGGCCCTCACCTGAGAATAGTTCTGGAAGGTCTCCACGTCTGAGGCCATTCTGGGAAGAGGAGGCCTATTCGGGGCTTTGGCACTCCACTTTCTAGAGGACCAGTTTAAACTAAAAGAAAGTCTTAGGGTTTGTAGGCATCTTATGCTACAAATAGCAGCCACAAAACGGAAAAAAAGAAGAACCACCTATAATTCTACCATCCTAACACACTAATTGCTTTCATTTCCTTTGTTCACTCTTAGTACTTGATTTAATACCATTATTTCATGCAGCTATAAATACTACATCGTTAAATTACTGCTTTCTTTTTTTCCATGAAACATTATATTATTAACTCTTTTGTCTTGAGGCTATTTTGGTTGCAAGGAACATTTACTCAGTCAAGTCAAACTATCTCAGAATAAAAAGCTAGTTAGCGTGTGTGTGTGTGTGTGTGTGTGTGTGTGTGTGTGCACGCCCCTCCCCCATGTGTGTACATACCTAATCCTGCAGAAATCCAAGGGCAGGAATGAAGGAGCCAAGTCAGCTGAGCTTCACGGGAATTGAGCTGGGACATGGAAAGTCACTGGCAACTAAAGCGGCTTTGAGGAGCATTGGGTGCGAAAGGTCTCTCTCTGTCTCTGTCTCTCTCCCTCTCTCTGTCTCTGTCTCTGTCTCTCTCTCTCTCCTCTCTCTCTTTTGGTTTTTCGAGACAGGGTTTCTCTGTATTGTTTTGGAGGCTGTCCTGGAACTCGCTCTGTAGACCAGGCTGGCCTCTGGAATTCACAGAGATCTGCCTGCCTCTGCCTCCTGAGTGCTGGGATTAAAGGCGTGCGCCACCAACGCCGGGCAAGAGGTCTCTTCTGATACCTGCATTTGTGCTATGTACTCTCATACCTGCCATTGTCCATCACCAGTAACAGTCACTACCAACCCTGAGGTCTTACAGCTCTGGAGCATTCCAAACCTCTCAGGGCTTTTTGTTTGTTTGTTTGCTTGCTTTAGAAGTGAGGAATTGAAGCCAGGTCCTTACACAGTACTGGTGAGTTTCATCTCCAGATCTCTTCCGGTCTCTTCCATGCAGTGAGGCTGCTCAGTCTATCGACTGAGGTAGACACCCGTTGGTTCAGCTGGGTGTGGCTACCAAGGCAGAGTCACACACTGTTTCTACAGAGCATCAGGGCCACCACCTCCCAAACCCCACACACAGAGCAGCAGCTCCCATGTGAGTTGGTAGTTCTTACATTTTCATGAACACGTGGCATGACATCGAACAGCTATTCTATAATCCAGGATCTTAATGTCACTGCTTTCCATCTGGGGCCAACACAAAACCATGGACATTTCTGATCTACATCTTCCCTTTCACCTAAATCATGCAAGATACTTTTAAAACTACGTAGAGGTTACAGTCTCTGAATATCTCCAGGACATAAGTTATAGCTTGCAATGTTTTTGTTTTACACATACTTAATGCCACTAGAGAAATACACTTAGGTAATTATAGGCCAAATAATGAGCTGCGATATCTCCGGGGGGAAGGGGGGATGGTGCATTGTAGATGATAATGAATTGGGACTGGTGATGTGACGGTTAGAGCTAATGATGGCTGTGCCCGACTTAGTAGTTACCATTGTCTTTATTTTGCTGTGTTTCCTACCAGCCTTCTCTTCTCCCCTGTAGTTTCTTTCCCTATTTGGTGCCTGTGTATTGCCCTCTCCGAATCTCTCAGGGGTTTCCTCAGGCAGATGTTACCAGAAAGCTAAAAAGAAAGAAACCACAACTTCTTTTTACATTTTCATTTAGTGTGTGTGTGTGTGTGTGTCTGTATGTGGGTTAGGGATGGAGTTGTGGGCACATGCATTCTACAATGAGTGTACAGAGGTCAGAGGGCAACTTGCTGGAGTTATCAAGCTTGGTCCCAGGGATCAAATTCTGGTCCTTGGGTTTATTTAGTGTTGGGTGCCTTTGCCAGATGAGCCATCCCTCTGGCTACACAATTTAGTGTTTCCCATGAGACAGTAGGTGACGGGAAGCTTGTATTCTAGAAAGGCAGTCAAGTGCCTCTGGTGGACAGATCAGTGACATGCAGGACACAATAGACAATGCTGAGAAACAATTGACCACTTACAACCCCTTATTATCCTTCGCCCAGCAAAGCTACATTTTGAGTTTATTTTTCTTTAATTAAATGAAAAATTGTATATATTAATGTAATATATATTCTACACAAGAGCTAAGTGAACTTGCAGGGTGATAAATCTGACTGAGGTCCTTTGATTTTAAAAGTCAGAAAACACAACACCAGGTGGTTCCTGACTGCCTTTTGGAGCAGGGTCATGGGAATGCCCTGGAGGCTTTCAGACAGACTGTATAAGCTTGACCCTGTGACTTGAAGCCGGAGAGGGATGTTCTCAGATTTCTCATGGTACCCTCTCTCTTGTTGTCTTTCTCACTGACTGAAGCTTGGGGGTGGGAGACTCTAGATTTTTCAGTGACTGCAATGCAATTGGACCTCAGTAAACACCAACAGAATGAAAGAGAAAATTTTGCATCATTTTAAAAATCCCTTTGTCCTCTCACAGAATCTCCTCCTCTCACAGTCCCTCCCAGGACTCTCGTTCTTCAGTCTCACTCAGAGACTTCAAGGAAGCCTCCGGGCAGAAATGAAAACCTCCCAGGATTCCCTCCAGAGGAGTATCTGCTGTGAAGTGGGACCCTGGGTCCAAGTCACCAAACTCTGACTTGGCTGTCAGCTCTCTCCTCCCTTTAAACTAGGACAGTTCAGAACTGCTTTTTCTAAACATAACTGCTGAAAGGTTTCTCATCACCTGCTTCTAATGAATCTAATGAATCCTGTAACTCAGAATCCACTATGAACAAGCTGATCAGCAGAATGTTTATTATTGGGCTAGCAGGATGACAGTGTGAGTCTGACTGGGTTTGGGCCGACTTTCCCTGAGTCCCCTCCATTGGCTTCTATAGCCAAACTTTCCCTCTAGTACTTGCCACAGTCGCTTGGTTTGTCTTTATAAGGAGTGGGGGGTGGAGCCAGGGAATGCAAAGTATAGAAGTAACCTGGGGAGGCCGGCTCCCCCCTTTACAGGAAGTCGGGGCAGTTTGCTTGGTCTGTGGTCGTCATTTTATCGATGTCGATGTCATTAGAAGTAAGGATATCTTTAAGGTAGGTTATTGTTTCTGGAGGGAGATACGGGTTTCTTCCCAGGATCCAAATATAATCCACATGGAAGAGCCAGATGATGGTGGTGCAGGAGTACACCAAGGCATAGTTCTCATAATCCGTGCCCAGGATCCAGTATGGTGCAGATGGCATCACTGAGAACCAGAGACAGCAGCGTGAGGAAGAACCTGGGCAAGGGGAGCCTCCTCTCATGGGCTCTGGGGACCCAATCACTAAGTCGGCGCTTTATGTGGGAAACTATGGGGGCAGTGAGAAATATTAAACCCACCTCCTCCAGCGTCAGACCTTCAAGTGGCTGGCCTTCTTTATATATTATTTTTTAAGTGTGTGTGTGTGTGTATGTGTGTGTGTGTGTGTGTGTGTGTGTGTGTGATGGGGGTAGGGGCACATGCAGTGACATATATGTGGAGGTCAGAGGACATTTGTGAAGTTCTACAACTTTAGGTAGGATCTACTGGCTCAAACAGCAAGCACTTTATCTGCTCAGTCACATCACCAGCCACCTTTTAATTATAAAGCTCAGGCCGACCTGTAACTTGTGTTCTTCCTGCCTGAGTCTCCTCGGTGCTAGGGATACAAATGTGTACCACCATGCTTGATATTTAAAAACAACACCACCAACAAAACTCTCCGGTGATTCTAGTGGGTGGCCATAGTCAAGGACCATTTTTATGCCCCTCCCCCCAGCAAATGGACAAGACATGCAGCGTGACAGGGAATTCAGCTGGCCTCCTTGGGTTGGCTGGCTGCACTAGCATCAACGTGTACAGAGACACTGCTTAGCAAGGAGGGTCAGCCTTCTCTCTACAGATTTCCACCCCTGAAGCTCCCTGAGGGAAGGGGATACTCACACTCAAAAAACTTGACTCCCAGCTTGGCTGGCTCTGAGAGGTTTCTCTGTGTGGCTTCCCCTTCAACTTGGTTCACAGTTCCATCAGGTCTAAAGTGAGTGGGGAAAGAGAGAGAGAAAGAGAAGAAACAAGGTAAGGAAAAGGAAGAAAAAGAGACATGGAAAGGAAGAAAATACAACTAATTGAAAACAAAACAAATCAATGAAAGTCAAGCTTTGTGCCCTAAGGGCTCTGGTAGCCAGCATGGTTGTGTCTGGTATGAGAGGCACTTGAAAGGCCAGCTGGACCTGATCGGGGTCCTGTCCTTCCCCCAGTGATGGTCTGAGATTCGGTGGAGGAAGACAGCACTTGTGGACAAGAAGCAGCTGTGACAATGCCCAGGGGTTGGGTTCTATGTCAGCCCTTGTATTTCAGCACAGGATTTTGGACTGTTCGCCATTTGCCTCTCAGATTCTTCCTGTTCCTAGACTTCAAAGAGAGGGAACAAAGGGGAATGGGATAGTAAACAAAACAACCCCTCTACAAGATTCATCTTTTCACAGAGGGGAGGATGAAAAGAAACAAAGGAGGGAGGAACCAGATCACGGAAAATAACGCAAAGCAGGAAGCAGTCTGGAGGCACTTCCTGTCACCCTTGTGAAGCGGTCTTCCCCTCTGTCCCACTGAGGGCCTGAGTTCTAGTTCAGCGGGTGTTCAACAGAGCGTGGGGCGTGAAACAGAGCAGGTCGGCACAGAGGCAGGGAGGAGACCTGGCCGTTATGATTCTGAGACAAGTCCGTTCTCAGAGACATGATTGTGAAGAAACACACATCATATAATTTTACCATGACACTTAGCGGAGGCAGAGCCATTCTTTCTTGGTGGTACATAAAATAGTGGCGTATCTTAAATGTGCTGCTCTTGGAGCCAAGGAAGAACTTAGACCCTTCACAAGGACCTGGCCCATTTCAGGCTAACTCCCAGTGACCCCATGAACCCAGAGGATGGGAAATAGGACAGAAAGGGGAGTGCCTAGACATCTTCAGCTGGCAAAGGAGTTGCCTGCCTGTCAGTGTCAAGCAGGGCCACCATGAGAGCTACCTGTGTGTGAGGAAGTCTGGAGGCTAGTGCTATGGTTAGCAGGGAGGGATGCATTGTGGAATAATCTTTTTGTACTCTGAGAATATGTGTCACTTGGACTGGCTTAATAAAAAGCTGAACAGCCAATAGCTAGGCAAGATTTCCAGGCACAGAGGATGCTGGGAAGAAGAAGGGCGGGGAAGTCAGTCAGACACACAAAATGGGATAGAGGTAAAGGCTACATGGTAGAACATAGAGTGATAAAAATATGGGATAATTTAAGTTCTAAGAGCTAGTTAGAAACAAACCTAAGCTATTGGCCGAGCTTTCGTAATTAATAGTAAGTCTCTGTGTTGTGATTTGGGAGCTGGCCGGAGAGAGAGAAAAATCTGCCTGCAGGAATGCTCTCCATCTGGATCTTAAGCAGCATAGGGGGGGGTTAGGACAGGTGCTCTCATATTCCTCATTGTCTGTCACCATGCAGGGCCAGGCACCACGCCCTGCTGTCTCCCCTGGAAGATGGTCTGTTTCCATCTGCAAATGGTAACTAAGCAACAAACCAGGCTTTTCTCCTCTTCACTATCATTTGCATCTTGTTCCAAGGTAGTTTTCAAAACACCAGTCCCTGATCATCAAGGCACAATGGGTTCATGGGGAAAATGCATTTTCTTTCAAATATTGTTTTTATTACATTTATTTAGTGTGTGTGTGTGTGTGTGTGTGTGTGTGTGTGTGTATACTCCTATCATGACATCAGTGTGTAGGTCAGAGGATACTTGGCGTGGTAGCAGGTGTCTTTGCCTGCTGAGCCATCTCCCTGGCTCCAATCTGTGTTCTCAAGTAACAGGGGTTCAATCAAGGTCATGTCTACTAGATGATTACCACATGCCAAACACTGCTGTAAGAGCTTTACACCTTTCACCTCATTTAATGCAGAGAGAGCAGAGAGAGTCTCAGGGTGAGTAGTTCTATTGCTACCAGCTTCAGAACTAGCTAACCTAAGATCACATTCTAGTCTGATCTGGAGCCAGGCAGCCAAGAACCTGTTCCCTTCACTCTTCAGCTCTAGGCCAGCTCTTCTGGGTCCCAAGTTCTTGAACACAGGCTGAGAGTTCCCGCTCCCTATGTGTGGACTTCATGGCTTTGCATCTAATTGGACATAATAGTTCAATGAAAAGAGATCATTACTGCCAGGTGGAGGTGGTGCATGCCTTTAATCCCAGCAGAGGCAGGTGGATCTCTGAGGCCAGACTGGTCTACAGCCTGAGTTCCAGGACAGCCAGGGCTATACTGAGAACCCTATCTTGAAAAAATAAAATAAAAAATAAAGAAAAGAGATCATTAGAACTTTCCTGTCTGCTATGATCTGGATAAACGCTCCCCAAAGGGCCTGGTAAGGGTTTGGTCCCCAGGGTGGTGCTGTTATAGTGGGCGAGGGAGTTGAGCCTGAGAGCCTTAGGTCACTGGGGTATCCTTTCAAAGAGGATTGTAGGCCCCATTCTCCTCTTCTCTTTACTCCCTCCTGTGTGAATTGCTCTTTCTACCCCATGTTCTCACCATGCTGTGCCCCCTTCACCAGAGGCTCAAGGAAGAGTCTCCTTGATTTCAGATGGAACCTCCAGAACTATGCTGCAAATAGAGACTTTCTCTGGAATTCCACTGAGAAGAAACTGCTGACTAATACAGGGCCTGCAAAATTCCTGGGAGGTTCCTGGCAAAGGCATTTGAACCCTGTAGTCAGCCCTTCTGGCAGCCTTCACCTGGAGCTCCAAAAGGAGCTGGAGTTCCTTGCTTCCTTCCTTCTCTGGTTTATGTGGGCTGGGAGTCAGCTGCCCCCCTCCACCCCCACCCCCGGGCTCTGGCCATCAGGGAAGTTAGTGGATGCTATGATGGCCACAGAGAGCCTCTATGGACCTATCAACTTGAGGGCTGATTGTGGTTGTTTTCTTGGAGTTGAATACCGCCCTCAGATTTTGTAGAGAACAGAAAAAACAACCCTTCATTCCCGGCCTTTTTTCTCCTGCTCCATTCTCTTCATTTCCCCTCTCCTGGGTTTAAATTTAGACTTCATCATGTGTCACTTGTACGGCCCTTGAACAAGTTGCTTAACCTTGCTGTACCTGAGTTTCCTCACCCATGAGGTTTATAATAGTACCTGTCATGGGGATTAAACAAATATATTTTCAGGGGGCGAGGCAGGTAACTTACATACAAGAAATACTTAAATGTATTTGTTGGCGAGGCAACTTTTGTTGGTGGAGGGTAGGCAAGAAGGGGGTCTTCGTGTCTGCTCTCCAGAGCGAAAAGTTTTGGGTTGAATATCAGTGTCCAGTGCACTTAGTGATAGAAATACAGACTTCTAAAAGACATAAGCTAGAGAGTGTACGTATCTGATGCTTGCTCAGCAAGGAAAGGAGGCACCTGGGGTTGGAAATGTGTCTCACTTGGTAGGGTGATGTTGCTTAGCATACAAAAGGTCATGGGTTAACATTGATACCACACAAATAAGGCTTGGTGACACACACTTGTCATCCCAGCACTAAGGAGGGTCAGAAATTCCAGGACATCCTTGGCTACACAGTGAGTTGGAGGCCAGCCTGGGCTACAAAAGATCCTAACTCAAAGGAAGAGAGGAAACAAAGAGAAAAGGGTGTGGAGGCCCCTAGCAGGGAAGCTGACTGGAGGTGGGATAAATTGCCACAGGATGAAATGAACCTCAAGTTCCCAGGCGTATTTGACAAAACTTTATGACCCCTGTGGGTAGATGGACAGAAAGGGTTTCTCTCTTGGTTTGGAGGCCAGAAAAGGCAGCCTAACTCTGCTACAGAGTCTCCATTTTGCGGTGAGAGCAGGGGCACTGGCCATGTTGCTGTTGACTCCCTACTGTCTCTCTCAGCGTCTGGTTGGTATTCAGTAGGTGCTCAGCAGTGGTTAAAGAAGAGAACACATGCATTCTAGCTCCGTCCATCCCACCTAGCTTGTGTAACACGTGCACCTTCTCCCTGCCCCTGCCTGCCCTTGCCTGCATCAGCACAGAACAAGGTCACCCCAGGCAGGCATGTGCGGTCACTCACCTCATCTCCTGGTTTAGCACTTTGATGTTTCCATTCTCCAGCAGCGAGTAGTTGGCTTGGTTGCAGTTTCCTTTCTCAAAGCTCGCTGGGATCTTCTCAATTTCGTACCATCTTCCGAGATACTGTGCAGACAACAACAAACAGGGCAAACCAGAGTCTCTCGAGGACCTGCTGGCTCTTCCCTATTGTTGTCTTAGAAGCAGGGCCCTTCCCAGGGGAAACCAGGCCAAATGGGATGCTTCACTCCCGGCCAACTGGGCAAGGTATTGTTTCAAATGAGACTGAGTGAACGGATGTGCGGGTAGCAGCCCTATGCCACACTCTACGCCTCAAGGGCTCTGTATTTAGATATGCCCTCAGAGCTCTCTCCAGTCAAAACCTGTGTGAAATTCCAGCTCTGTGAAAGGAAGCGGTTGTCTGGTTGACGGAAAGTATCTTTCACATCCAACAGCCGATAATTCTACAAGGCATCTTTGATTCTGTGTAACTCAGGTGTGTTGGCTGTGGGGCCTCCCTGCTTGGAGTTAGCTGGTTTACTGTGCCAATTTGTTGCCTCTGAAGAGGGCGGCTTGGTAATATTGAGAAGAACTAAAAACATATGCTCCTTAGCCCAGCAGTTTAACTTCTGGGAATGTGTCTCCTGCTGTTAAAAAATGATGTGTACATATAAGGTTATCTGTTATATGTAGTTCTGACTGTCACAGTAAGAGGCAGGAAGTGGTCCAGTGAGGAGCTGGGGAAATAATGATGGTGCATCTATCTGATGAAATTGTAAACACTCCCTTTTAACAAAGGTATATGCACAGTTATCTCGAAGATATCGAAAGAGTAAAGAGCAAAGAGCTGGGTTTGAAGTGAGGTGTACTTAAGCTGCTTTCCATGTAACAACAAAAGCTTATCATACGGGTTCCTATTGCTGCAGTGGTGAGTCACAAACTCCAACCAGAACACATTTATTGACTATGGTTCTATAAGGTAAACTCTGATCCTAGCCTCACTAGGCTAAATGAGATGTGGGCTTCCTCCCCTTGCAGAGGCTCTGAGAGAGAGTGGGCCTTTTTGCTTTCCCCATGTTTTATAGGCCACCTGCTTTCTGGACCCAGAAGACCTTCATTTTCAAGGTCAGCTGACCTTCCGCTATGCCTCCCTGGCTTTCATTTCTTCATCACATCTCTCTGTCTAACCACAGCTAGGAAAGATGTTCTGCTTCTAATAATTTATGTGATTAAGTTGGGTACACCCGGATACCCAGTTTGGCCATCTCAGGTCACCTCTGCAGAATCCCTTTATTCCATGGACAGTAGGATGTTCACAAGTTAGACAACAAGCCATGAACATCTGGGAGCTGTTATTTTGCCTACCACAGTCCTACACATATTTGCTTGTATATGCACACATTATCTGAAAAGAGGTATACAATATGCTGGTTTTACCAGTTGCTCCTGGGGGGCGGAAACTAAGGAGACTAACTGCATTGCATGTTCCTTCGGACCTTTGGGATTTGGGTTGTGTCCCTCTCACCCGACCCTCTGGGGCATGCTTCTAGGGAAGGAACACAGCCAAGACTTTATACCAGCCAGATATGCTATCACTGAGCTGTGAGCCCAGCTCTCTTTTGCACCTTCAGCATTTTGAATTACTTGAGTATATTTGCCTAGTCAAAATATTAATTATAATCATTCTATAAAATGTAAAAATCTGTCACTCAGCAGAGCAAGTAAAGCATGCATTCACCTTCAAACATTCACAAGTATCCTGAGAATAAGTGGCAATGCCGCTTCAGTCACGTGACCCTGCTCAAGCACATGCTCTCATCTTCTAACGCATACTTTTACCACTCCTGTAGTGAACCCCAACAGTCAGTTAAAAACACTGAAACTCAGCAGAGGCCTCTAAGTCAGAACCTGGGAGGTGCCCAGATTGGGAAAATCAGGAATCCAAGGTCAGCAACAGATACATGGAGAGTTCAAGGCCAGCCTGGACTACAACAGACCCCGTTTCAAACAAACAAACAAACAACAACCTAACAAAACAAAACAACCCTGTTGAACTTGGCCTTCATTGGAAGTACCAAAAAACGAGGCTAATGTGTTTCATAAGCACCCTCAGAAAAATTTCCATCTTATGATAGTTTAACATAGTTCTTAATTACTCAAGAGACTTGAGAGATCCACAGTTAAGAGCAAGGAAGTATGACTTTCCAGAATCAAGGAAACTCAGAGGTGAGAGGTTGTCTTGTTATATTCCCTCGTGATCCCATATTTCTCTGTAAATCTTTCTCATCACTGTTTCTATATAAGGACAATTCGATGCCTAAAAAAGAAAACTAGAAAAGATTCAAAATCACCTTTATTTGCAGAGGATCTATTACTGTATATACAAAGTCCTAAGGAATTGCTTTTGAGGGATTTTGTATGTTCCTCTTGTCTTCCTTGCCTTTGTCTAAGATTAGAGATGTGAATGACCACAGTTAGTTTATTTGGTAATGGTAGTCAAATGTGATCTTGTGCAACTGAGCTCTGTTTCCAGCCTTCCTAAGGAATCTTAAAAATAAACAACAACAAAAACTTTTGAAATATGAGTTCTGCAAATTTAAAAAATGCAAAATCAATATACAAAAGTGTTTCTATACATGTGATGAAAAATCTGTCAATGAAATTAAGAAAATTCCATTTTTAATAACATAAAGAGAATGAAAATATTTAGGAATAAATTTAACTAAATAAATGTAAGAATGTGTATTTTGAAAACCACAAAATATTGGTAAGACAAAAAGGTAAATAGATGCCAGGCAGTGGTGGTACATGCATTTAATCCAGCACTTGGGAGGCAGAGGCAGGCCGGTCTTTGAGTTTGATGCCAGCTTGGTCTGCAGAGTGAGTTGCAGGAGAGCTAGGGCTCCACACAGAGAAACCTGTCTCAAAAAACCAAAACCAAAACAAAACAAAAATGTAGATAGAGATGTGAACAGAAAGGATTAGGATGGAGATACTCCACAAATTATTTTTCATATTCTCTACAGAAATGGACAAATGGTCATAAAATTCTTGTGAAAATACAAGGGACGAAATAGAAGAATAAAGTTAGAGGACTATGTTTTGATTAGAAACTAATGACAAAACTGCAGTAATCAAAACTGGTTTAAGTCTAGACATATACCTAGAATAGAACTAAAATTTTTAAAATAAAACTTCATATACATTGCCAACTGATTTTCACTATGGATATCAAGACTATCAATGGAGAATTGTTTTTTTTTTTTTGTTTTTTGTTTTTGTTTTTTTGGTTTTTACGAGACAGGGTTTCTCTGTATTGTTTTGGAGGCTATCGGTCCAGCCCGGCCTTGAACTCACAGAGATCTGCCTGCCTCTGCCTCCCGAGTGCTGGGATTAAAGGCGGGCGCCACCGCTGCCCGGCGAGAATTGGTTTTTTTTAACAAATGGTGCTGGAACAACTGGAAAGACATACAAATGGAGTTGGATGCTTCTATGACACAAATCTAACTTAAAATGGATCAAAGGCTTAAACGCAAGGGCTTAAGCTATAAAACCCTGAGAAGAACATATAGGTATAAATCTTTATAGCCTTGGATTATTCTGTAGGTATGGGACTATATACTGAACTAATGAGATACTTACTAATTAGGCACTTAAATTTGTAGGCCTGACCTCACAAGTACAAGCAACAACAACAACAAAAAAAGTAGACAAATTGGACTTGATCAGTATAAAAAAACCTCATGCTTCAAAGGGTATATTGATAAGGGAAACATTCCATCTGTTATGGAACATTATTTTAAGATGCACTACATTTGTTTATACTGCAGAACATTTGTTTTAATGATGCAAAATTGTGTTGCATTCTTTTGTGCTGCATTTAACTCTGTGAAGCTGTGCTACTTTGCCTGTCTAAAACACTTGGTAAAGAACTGAATGGCCAATAGCAAGGCAGGAGAAAGGATAGGCGGGGTTGGTAGGCAGAGAGAATAAATAGGAAAAATCTGGGAAGAGGGTTCAAAAAGAAGGAACAAAAAAAGGAGAGGATACCAGGGGCTAGCCACCCAGCTACACTGCCAGCTGAGAGTAAGAAGCAAAGAAAGGTATACAGAATAGAGAAAGAGAAAAGCCCAGAGGCAAAAAGTAGATGGGATAATTTAAGCTAAGAAAAGCTGGCTAGAAATAAGTCAAGCTAAGGCTGGGCATTCATAAGTAAGAATAAGACTCTGTGTCTTATTTCTTTGGGAGCTGGGTGGCGCCCCCCCCAAAAGAGAAAAGAGTAAAAACAACATTTTGGTGTTTCAACGAGGACAAGAGTATTAAAAACAAAGGAACAAATAAAAACCCAACAACACTCATCAAATGGGATAAGCTATTTTAACATATCTGGAAGAGATTTGCATCTAACATTGAGGAAGCGAGCATTTGGGTATCAACAATTAAAGATTTTTTCAAGACAGGGTTGCTCTGTGTTTGTCATGGAACTCACACTGTAGATCAGGCTGGTCTCAAACTCAGAGATCCACATGCCTCTGCCTCCTAAGTGCTGGAATTAAAGGCACCATGCCCAGCCTTTTTTTGGGGGGGGAGGCAAAAGATTTGAACGGAAAATTTACACATGGCTCGTAAGTACATGAAAAGACACTCAACACCATTAGCCCTTAGGAAATGGAGGTGATGCCATTTAAGACCACTATTTGTAAGAATGCATAACGGTGCAACTGTTCTAGAACAGTCCAACAGCTTGTCAAAAAGTTAAACACAGAGTTATCACATCAGCAGTTATACTTCATATATACCTTAAAGAACCGAAAACATAAGCTCCCTCTTCCAAAAAAGCCCCAAGCCTGAATGTCCACAGCAGCAGCAATTGTATAACAAAAACATAAAGCAACCCAAAGGATAAGGATAAGTAAACTGTAGCATCATTCATACGTCATATGGCAACAAAAGGACTGGAGTATTGATGGATGCTGCAACACAGCTGAACCTTTGAAACATTTCCTTCAGTCACAAAAAGCTGGCATTGTATGTCCCACAGACAGACTCATATTGACAGAAAGTAAGATATTGATCGTATGGCAGAATTGGGAAGAAAAGGAGCATTCTGGTTTGGATGTGAAGCTTCTCCTCAGGTTCCTGCTTTGAAGGTTTGGTCCTGATGTGGACAAAGGTCACAGGTGGGACTTTCAAGATGCCAAGAGCTCTGACCTAACCAATGGATTAGTCCCTTGATGGATTTGCTATATTGGAAGGGGAAGCAGGTCACTGAGTGCTCGCTTGGGAGATATGGCTCTTGTTTGCATGTTTGTTACTCTCTCTGCTTACTGGCCTCCATAAGCTAAGCAGCCCTCTGCACTATGCATCCTATGACATGTCTCACCATAAGCCTGTGGGCCATGTGGACTGAAAGCCCTGAAACCAGGGGTCAGAACAGGTCTTCCCTCTTTCAAGCTGTTTCTCTTGGGTGTTTGTCACCACGATGAAAAGTCTGAGTAATGTCGCTAAAGAGACTGTTAGTGGGTTTGTGGTTTCTTCTTAAGATAATAAAAGCCTTCTAAAACTGATTTAATGATGGTTGTATAACTGTGAATATATTAAAAATCCTTGAAATAAAAACTTTTGGAACAAGCCAGTAATATGCTATATAAATTAATCTTAATAAACTTTTTGCCTTAAAAAATTCTGATTTAGGGGTGGAGAGATGGCTCTGCAGTCAAGAGCGCTCGCTGCAGAGGACTGGAGTTCAAGTCCTGGCATCCCCATTGGACAGCTGACAGCCACCAGTACCTCCAGCCCCAGGGGATCCAACACACTTTCCACGGGCACCTTCACACCTCAGCATGTTCACATACACACACACAGACACACACACACAGACACATAACTTTTAAAAGATCCTATAAAAACATTATGCTTCAGTTCTCAAAGGACTTCTGTAAGTGAAGGTATCAGCTTTAATTTCCAGGATATTTTGGCAATTTAACTCCCAAACTAAAATCTAACTCAAATTCCTTGGATATTATCATAAATGTGGGTTTTTTGTTGTTTTGTTTTGTTTTGTGGTTTCCCAGGCTGATTCAATTCAATGGAATCTTAATATACTAACGAAGAGTGTCAGTGTAGACTTAGTGTGGCTTTTCCTTCCTTACCTGGGGTATGGCAGCCGTCTTATTCTACCCTTCTAATCTCTAAACTCTTTCGTCCCAGTTCTGTCTAGCCCGCCCTCTAACATTGCCAACACTCAGCCCCAAAGTTCCAGTGACTGATAATTCCAGTGTTTCTCAAGCTAAGTGTGCCACTCCCTAAAAGCAACCAAAACCTTTTAAGGAGGGGCCTTTGATTAGAATCCAGGCCTTCCTCAGTCGTGGGACCTCTGAGTTCTGTCATGTAATAGCGGCCCCCTCTGCTGTTCCCTCTGCCTCATTCCAAGAAGAAGAAACATTTATGGGGAGCTAGTTGCATTGTAGGTGACAAGAAAACACTCCTTGGGGGACCTCTGGCCTTTCCCAAGTCCTGTCTGGAGTTGTCTGACAGGAAGACTAGTTTTGAACCCAATGTACATGTACCAGATGCACCACCCAAGAAGGATGCTCTATTTTCCTTTGGGTAGGACAAGAGTAGTGAACCAGCCATAGCTAATGCCCCTATTCACATCCTAACTTCACCCCCACCCCCCCATAGTGGTGGGGACAATTCCTATACACTGATGACTCATGCTTGCCACCCCCTGCTCTCCCCTGCCAGGGCCACGGGAGCTCCTATGGCCTGTTGGCATCCATCTTTGAGGCAAGCCAAGGCACCAAAGACTCCTCTTCTCCCCTTTCTGACCTCAGAGACTGCTTCATGGAAAAGCTAAAATAAGGTAAGTGCCTTTCTGGTGCTTATGCTCACAGATAGCACTAAGGAAACCTGGGATGTTAAACACGCAGGGTTGTCTTTTCAAAGAAAAGATGTATAACCTGTTTTTTACCTAGAAGGCTGTGGATAGAGGTGGCCAATAGCCTAGGTAACCCTGTGCTGTCTATAGGGCCAAGCCATCCATACCTTACTCCCCCAAGCTGCCTCAACCGGGACTGGAGGTGATTAATAGTCTAGGTGACCTTTGCACTATCTGTATGGCCAGAGGCTCCCCCAGTTCCCTCAACCAGGACCAGAGATGGCTAATAGACTAGATGACTTCCTTTTTTTTTTTTTTTTTCGTTTTTTGAGACAGGGTTTCTCTGTGGTTTGAAGGCTGTCCTGTAGACTAGGCTGGTCACGAACTCACAGAGATCCGCCTGCCTCTGCCTCCCAAGTGCTGGGATTAAAGGTGTGTGCTACCAATGCCCAGCGACTAGATGACTTCTGTGCTATCTGTATGATGGAGACCACACTAGATTCCCCCAAGTCCCTTAAGATAACACATGAAGCCTATCTACAGAGCTCATCTTAATGGAAGAAGTGACATGTACTTTGAGTGTTACACAGCTTTGTACACATTGTGTTATACCAGAAAAAAATTTTCCAAGTTGCACTGTACTTAAATATGACTATAATAAACCGCCTGGTGTCAGACTCTACAAGTTTGAACCAACACTGGCTACTGGGTCGTGTTGAGCCATATTTCCTTCTTGCCTCACACGGATTGTTACTCTGCTACCTGTGACCACAGAGACCCCCCCCCCACGCTCCCCAAGGGTTGCTTTGGAGATTAAGGAATAAAATGAACCTTTCAGCATGATCAAACCAAAGAGAAGTCTGAGTTACCATACCCTTTTCACGTCAAAATTCTCTTGCACTGGAGGAGACGGGCATTTCCCAAGATGGAAACTTTGTCCCTTGGTTGCAGTGAAGAGGCCTGCCAGGGTGGCCAGGAGCAACAGCATTGTCACCATCTTGGGTCTGGTGGCTTCAGGAGAGGCCTGGGGAGAAACAACACAGCTGGAGGTGTCTGAGTCTCCTGAGGACACACAGTGATGAAGAGTCCTTGAGGGCCGGTCCCTCGGCTGGCATTCTCCTCAGCACGGAGGAGCTGCATCTTACAGTTGCCGCCAGCCTGGCCATCCAGACACAGTGAGGTCATCACTGGTTCCTCTTGATCTCTTGCTAGATTAGCCTCCTTCGTGGACCCTCACCCTCCCATGCCCCATTGAATATTTCTCCAGGGTAGGCACCCTGTCCAGTTTCCCTCAGAATCATCCCAGAATCTTGGAAACATGAAGTTCAGTAGGTATTTGTTTCTGGAACAAAAGTAGTGTGTATGCGGGGGAACAAAGAGGCGTACAGAATGAAAACGCTCAACTCCACATCATGCACAACGTTAACTGTCCTATGAGACTCATAAGGACATGCCCCCCAGACCCCGCCCTTTATTCTTACCAATGTCTTGCTGGGCTGTCCTATCAACTCACACTTGGTCCAGGGACCTTAACCAAGAGCAGCATGTGGGGGACCCAGGATTACTCAGATGGGTTCCAATTCTGGCTCTACCACCTACTAAGTGTAACTGTACAAGGTAGACCTTTGTTTCTTGGCTTATAAAGTATTCATGATTAATAGTCATGCCTGTCTCATGAATCTTTGTGAAAATAAAATGGGATTAAAAATAAAGCCAGGGGTGGTGGTGAAGGGGTCTATTAGAGAGGCTATTCTGTTGTCCACCAATTCAAGACCAGCTCTAATGACATAGGAAGACACACCCCTCTAGAAAGTGGGAGAGTTAGGGGAAAATACGAATGCTCAGAGTAGTGACTGACACCAAGCAGGTGCTCAGTAAATATTATCTATCTATCTATCTATCTATCTATCTATCTATCTATCTATCTTTATCACTTGCTTTGTAGACTGGGCTGGTCTTGAACTCACAGAGATCTTCCTGCCTCTGCCTAAGAATGCTGGGAATCACAGAGCTGCCACCTTGCCCAGCTAAATACTAACATTGTTATTGTGAAGAGCAGAAGCAGGACGGTATTTCCCAGGCATTTCCCCATCACCAAGGGTGTTTTTCACAGAGGGTATGCATTAAGCCACAGGAGGCCTGTAGGCTAAGTGAAGAGTACAACACTACTTCAATACAGAAGTCCTCTGGTGGCCACAGCTGGCTCTGGGGAGGCTCAGTGGGTAGCAGGGGAGGCCATGGCTGTGGGTACAGGCTATGGATGGACCCCTTGGGCTCCTCTCTTTTTCTCTCCTCTGACTGCCTTCCCCCTCTTCCCTTCTTGTGACTCCTTGCCTCTCACTGCACATGAGCTATTTCCAGCTCGCTGCCTTTCTCTCCCAGATGAAGGTGACTGAGCAAGCAAAATGTTCTCAGATCTGAGCATTGAAAAGGATGTGTCATAACAGGAATAATTATAACCACTTCATTACGAGGCTCTGAACCTCCAAATAACTTTAATAATCAATAGCTTTTTCTTTTGAAGGTTTTGTTGCCTGGTTTTCAAAAGAACAGTTATGTAAGGAGGGGGAGCTGCCAGCTGGGGTGGGCTGGGGAGGGGGTGGCTGCCAAGGTTCTCTTGAGCAAATCTGTGGAGGAACCACCATCTTTAGTCCTGGAGGCCCCCTTTCCCACTGCTATAGAAACAACATCTCAGCAGGTGGCGTGTTTGTAAGAAACCCAGCCTAAAGTCACAAAACTTTGAACCCATTCTCAAGGGCTCTTGGGAGCTTTGTAGCTCTGCCCAGCAGGCCCAAGCCAATGACCTTTTTCAAGCACTGGACTTTACATATGGCACATAAGTACTTACACTCACTCTGCTGTGTTTCCGAATGAACAGGACCTTAGGGGACATCTACCCAGCTTCTCTCATCCCTGCCAGATGTGCAGATGGGAAACTGAGGCCTGGAAATGAGTATGACTATGACAAGGCCAGCTCTCCACCCACAGCCTCTCGGCCATGCTTCATTTTGTGTCCATCTTTATGCATTTCAATGAACAGCTGCCTGGGAGACATGATGAGCCCTGCCTCACTATGCAACAGCGATAACAAGTCAGTGTCTAACTCTGAAAAATGTCTTATGACAAGATGTTCTCCTGTGGGCTGAAACATACCCTTGAGTTCTGTGGGAGGATTCAGAACAAGGCTCACTCCCTTTTACATGGCTTCCAGAGATGCCGTCTGGCTGTTTGAGTTTTCTTCCTATAGCTAAAAGTCCTTGAGAGGGGAGAGGCTGACACGCTCCTTCCGCTTGGAATCACTTAACACTGGCAGAGCATGCTATTTGAACACATGGATAACTCTGGGTAAAAGATGCACGATTTACAATGTGTATTTTACTATCGTCAAATATCACAGGAAGATCGTCTTGGTGAGTATACTTTTAGAAAAAAGCTTAACTATAATTTCAACTGACTGTTAAATAACTTAGAGGTAAGTCTTCCAAGGCTGTGGTGCACCGTGGGTAGACACTGACTGCGAGTCAGACAAGCTGGGGTTCTCCGTGGGAAGCACTGGCCTCCACCATTGTGTGATCTACACCAAAACATCTCAGCTAGAAGCCACCTGAGCTGAAGCTGACTGACCCTGTTCTCTGTAAGGTCAATTTCTCGGCTTAATTCTTTGTACTCCTGTGAGGCAGAACTTGAGCTCAGGTCTCCAAGAGCACATGTGTGTCACTGTAATCACAGTCCCTGACCTCAAGAAGCTGTAAGGCATGAACTAGATTCTGAGATTTCACATGGCAAAATGAAATATTTCCATGGTGAATAGATCATAAAAACAAACAAATCCATGTAGCCTTTGTAGAACAAGACCTGCACACCCCTCCCCCTTTCCTTTTTTTTTTTTCCTTCTACATAGTCCAGGCTGACCTCAAGCTTGCTCTATGACTCAGGCAGTCCCACAGTCTGTGCTGTCTGCTTCCCTAGTTGGAGGGTTAAAGGGTTACACCTCACACCAGAAAATCACATATCACATATCTAAGCAAAGTGTTTTCCTGTCCAGCTGTAGAGAGCTTTGCTCACACAAGCAATCCCAGGTTTCAGTTGATCTTACCGTCAGGGGCAGTTAAACTGCTCTAGAGAATTCATCTGTGCTGTCTTGGCACACAGGCATGTTTCTCATGGTCTCCTTAGGGCAGCAGGAGGGTGGATGATAGGAGAAGCCAGGAGAGGAAACACAGGCTTACCTAGCTCTCCGACTTGTCACCTGAAAACATGCCAAGAGCACCTACCTTGTAAGTTTGAAGAAAATGAGATGGGGGCCTGTAGAACTAGTGCGAAAGTCCTCCGTCCATACTTACCGTTCGAGCTGAAAGGGGGCCGTGGAAAGGCAAGGCAGTCTCTATCTTAAACATCATTTATCCTAAGTGAAAGTTACAACCATGTACATACCCCCTTATTTTTATTAAGACGACAGCAGTTGTCACACAGAATCCTCCAAGTGAGGCGCCTGTTTTGGTCCTGGCTTCTCGCAAGTCACTTTATAAGCTCCCATCAGGTCACGGGCCTTTGATAGTCATGCATGCCACACCCCACACAGCTCAGGAAGACTGGCCTCAAAGCTGAGCTCTGTATGAGGCACAAAGACTGGATGCTGTGTCTGTCCCCTCCCTTAATTTCCTTCACAGCTGCTCCCTGAAGAAGAAACAATGGGATACTGTTGTGTGCGTGGGAGAGAGAGAAAAACAAAATGCATTTTCATTCAAAACATCTTTTGCTTTGTGGGTTTTCAAACTTGAAATCTTTTCTGTCCCAATGCCCTTGTAAGTTCCAGCAAGATGAATTTGTACTGTGTTTCCAAACATCTGGTATTTATTTTTCATTTTTGTGTAAATGAAAAATCAACAATTTCATTTCCTGAAATGGAACAGGACTACTGCACCCCATATAGTCCAGGAATGTGACTCAGGTGACCCGGCCAGGGCTGGAGATTAGAGTTGGCTAGTAATGAGATCCAGGGTGGGACCCTACTGCAGTGAGTGCCAGTTCCCCCATTGTGGGTAGAGACAGACACTCTGGTCTTCTAGAAAGGGACATGTAAGGGTCATCAGTTCTATACCTAGTGGGGCCAAAATTGAGAGCATCAATGTATCTTCAGCAACCCCTCTCTCTGTACCCTTGGCAACACACCCACCTCCCTTGCATGGCTTGGAGCTGGGAAGTGGGGTGCAGTTTGAAAGGGGCACTTTTGGTTGAGTCACGTTAGGGCACACAACAGACCAGATACACCCAGATGGCTGCACACTTGGAAACTTGATGAATGGACAGTAGTTTCTAATTGTGCCTCTGCAGCGTGGAGAATGAATGAAGAGGCACGCTGAACATTCGAGCTTGAACTATATAGTTTACCTACTAACTATCCAAATTCACTACTCAGATCGTCAGGCCTGGAAGTGGTTTGTAGACAGAGCTACGGAGGCTGCCTCGAACTGGCCTCTGCTTTTAATGTTCTGTGTTGATGGGACCTGCTCTGTAAGGAACTTTCTGTCCTGCATAATTTTATAATAATTTTCAGCCAAATGGTGCTAGAGACACATCTTACTGTAGATGGTGAGGGTTAACAGTAGAAGGAGGAGCTTCAGGGACTGAACAGATCCACACACTGTCAGACCATCCAACACTTCTGAGATGACTCAGTTAGTGGTTTCTAGAACACTGCATCTAGGTAGGACATGTCTAACCTCTGGTGTTGATAGGTCATTACTAGTCACATCTAGGGACTGAATCTGCCACTAAGGAGACTAAGAGTGAAGCTCAGGAGTCCTCTTCCTCTCAGCATCAGTGAAAGGGAACAGGGCCGTGGACCAAGACAAGGTGTCCAGGCCAAACATTGTCACCACCTTGCCACTGGCGTTGGCAGTGCTCTTCCTGTACGTGGTCCCAGTTGCACTCTCCTTCCGTGTTAGCATCTTGTGGTTGGAGCACGGTTCCTGCTGTTGAGGAAAAGACAGGACCCAGCAGGGCAGAATGAGAAAGGAAGCCAGGGGAGGCTCACACCGCCTTGGGAATCGTTAAACTGTCTTGGCTCCCACACAGCAGCTGGCATCTGTCAGTGTCAGGAGACCCCGGCTGCTCCCTACCTCCCACACTGCCAGGCCCTTGGGACTCCTGGGAAGCAGCAGGACTCACAGGTTGTCACTTCTTCTCCATGTGTGTCCTCACCCCAGGAAGGAAAGACAGAGAGGCAGTGTGTGCACCAGGAAGGAGGGCGGGAAAGGGGCTTCTGCGTGCAGCTGTTACCACGGGTCCTCAGCCTCAGGATGCAGAGGGACCACACCCCGGTTGCAGAGCTTCTAGGACTGTCTTCACCTGAGGGTGTTCATCCTGAATCCAGAAGCAGTGAGCACGGGTTCTCTTCTGTGCCCTGATGGGAACAATATGACCAGTGTGGCCCAGCATGTGGTTGTGAAGCCATCTTCTGGTCACAAATGAGGAGCTTCGAGGAAGCCAAGAAGCATGGGGTCCCCAAGGCAGGCTTTGGAGCTTTTTCAGGGTCCAAACAATTTCCTGGTGAACTATAGTAACCCAGGCTTAGGCAGAGGAGACGGAGAGACCTCCAACAGCATCCTGTCCTCACAGCTTGTTTTGATACAAGAATTTCATCTGTGTTGTTTTCAGGGTCCATTCTCAGGGCTTGCCCAGCACTCAGCCTAGTGGACACTTGGTGACTAGGAAGGCTGTCTGCCAGCATCAGATTACCAGTTTAGAAAAGAACATTGAGTTTTCCATGGCAGTTTAATTGCCTGATTCAAGCGGTCTGCTGAGTCTCCCAACGAATTGCCTTACTGCATTTGTATTCTCTCTCTCTCCCTCTTTCTCTCCTCTGTGTGTGTGTGTGTGTGTGTGTGTGTGTGTGTGTGTGTGTGTGTGTGTGTGTGTGTGTGTGTGTGTATTGGAGAAGCCCCTATTGGTCAGTTGAGAGCTGAAAACCTTTGGACTTCAAGAGAAAAGTACCCTTTTCTAATAAGTTTTTAGTGGTTTGGTCAGACTAGCCTTGAATTTTAGGAAAATTCAAGCCAGTTGGAAGAAGGAACTAGAAGAGCCTGGTGATTCTAGGCAGGCTGTTTAGTGTGTTAAGAGGATGACGCTCAAGGCAGACTCAGGACTCAGATGTTTTCCGCAATGGCCAGGGAACTCTTTCCTTGCAGAATATGGGTGCTTTCTTGTCCTGTGTCCAGGTAACCCTTGTTCCTTTCCCAACTTCCTCTGTTCACCTCTCTCTCCTCCACAAGGCTGCCTCAGTGCCCATTGCCCACTGTTGCCTGGATACAAGGAATGAGAGAGCAGTGGGTGGGTGGTCCCCACGCTAAGTCTTCTCCATCACAGGTAGGATCAGCAAGGTAGGCATCGCCAGCTAAACCAGCTGAACTAAAGGGAAAAAATGAGGAAAACAGCCAGGAATAGAGAGCAGAGAAAAGCCAGGGTCACAACTGGGGGACGGACATGAACTTGCCTCTTACTCTGTGTCCTTTCCTTGGATGCCTCCCTCCTTCCTGTCATAACAACTTCTTGGTTCCGGTGGCTGGTGGGCTCCATCCTCCATCCTTGCAGATGAGGTAGTACCTCCAACCTGCCACCGATAGAGTGAAATTGATAGCACTACACCTATAAACAGCAGTACGGCCCCCAGCGACTCTCACATGTGTCAGAAGCTGAGAGATCTTTTTTGTTGTTGTTGTTGTTTTCCTCAGAACAATGAGGCTTTCTCTTTCCTGCTCAGGACCTTCTCCTGCAACACCCCTGGCACGATGTCGCCATCCCTCCTTCCTCCCGGTGATGTCCCCATCCTTCCACCCTCCATGCCCTTGCTCAGATGTCCCTTTTCTTTAAAACGCCCTCCTGGCCTTTGAAGCAGCACTCCTGTAGCTGGTGCTTCACCTGCTCTGCTGCAGCGTCCTTGGGAAAACCTCACCTCACGCAGTGACCACATCCGTGACGGTTGCTTGTCGTGTTTCCCTGGCAATGCGCAGGCTCCGCCAGTGTAGGGCATTTGTCTCAATCGCCCTCTGCTCGGCCTCCCGTGGCTTCACAGCACAAGTGAGTGCTTTGTAAGAACTTAATGAATGCTAACCCTAGATTTTAGTGGTTATTCAAAGATATAAAACAAGGAGCTAGAGGTAATATTCTAGAGGCTTCTTTTTTTCTTTTTTTTTTCTTTTTTTTTGGTTTTTACGAGACAAGGTTTCTCTGTGTTGTTTTGGAGGCTGTCGGTCCAGCCCAGCCTCGAACTCACAGAGATCCGCCTGCCTCTGCCTCCCGAGTGCTGGGATTAAAGGCATGTGCCACCACCGCCCGGCTCTAGAGGCTTCTAATGGAATTAATTTGCTAGAAAAGCACCAACCTCTCAGTTTGTATCTTTTTCATCTAAATCATATTTCTTTCTAGGAAGTTCTGGTCATGGAAAGATTAATAATTAACTTCTCTTCAACATCACAGAAAGAATACTTCCTTCCACTCAGTCAAACGACAAGACTGCAACAACCAGTTTCAGGACGTTGGGCAGGAGAGAGGCCGCAGAGCCAGGCGGAGAAGAGCAGAAACACAACACAAAGCTGCCGGTTCAAAGCCATGCTCTGAGGCAAAGACTGGGGGAATTAAGGAGGCATGAGAAAGAGTTCGGCTTAGGTCTCTCACTGACTGAGAGTCTAAAAAAGATTCAAACAGCCTTTAGGTCACACTTAAGGTCAGGGCTGTGTCTTAACCTCATGACCTTTGACCTTTTGGTCTTCCCAGCACTCTCTCATCCATAAACCTGAACAAGGCCTCTGATTGATTGACCACCTTGAAATTTACAAAAAGGAATTCTCTAGGCGAGAGAAATAAGCAAACCAGATAATTCTGTACTTAAATTTAAAACTTGACTTGATCCTTAAACTTAGTTATCAGTGACACCCTTAGTTATCAGTGACGATGTAACTTCAGAAGCTACAACTCGCATGAGTAGCTTCCGCTAGGGGCTCCCCTTGCCTTCCACCCATCCTGTCTCAGCGTGGCTGCCCCTCGCTTGATAAATCCCAGCTTTGCATCACACTGACTCATCCTGAAGTTCCTTCCCCTGTGATAAGATTGCGGCTTCACCTGAGTAGCTCAGAGGTGCTTCAGGCTACGCAGTTAACAGCACAGAATTGCTTCTCCTACGCTGTGACTCGTTAGAGAGCTGAAGCTGAGGGATTTCCTCAAGCTAAAACTGGCCATTTGGGGAGAATTCTGTTTCACTCCCCACGGCTCTCTTGCCCTGGCTCTAGGAAAGTTAGTAAAATTCTGATAAGCAACTCGTCTGTCTTGGTGCCTGGAGCCTAAGCCTGAGTTCAAGCAGCTCCATTTTGGCCTGACTTCTTGGCTATTGTGTGGAAGCTCGGTCCAAGCCATTACTCTTAGTTTGATAATTCGAAAGTCTTCAGCAAAGCAATTCTGCTCAAGTTTCTAAGTGTGTAAGTTCACCATCGGTGAACCTCTCCACTTGATCCCTGAGCACTGAGTCAGGAACAAGTGAGGTAAAGGCACTAGTCTAAAAAACTGAGTCATCACAGTGACCACTTGTCTCCTGTA